CTTGCGTATTTATAGTTTTTAGAACATCTATATTTACCCAGACCTCCAGAGCATAACCCCCCCCCCCCAAAAAAAAAAATTAAATAAATTGTTTGGTGCACTTTAAACGACCAGTCTAAAGTGTCCTCTCCCAATATATTTTTTTAATACACATACTTTTTAAAAAGGATTTCAATGTATTTTGGTAATACACGCTATTATTGTATTTGCTTTTTACAAAATCATTGAAGAGGCGACAATACCAGTTAAGAGAATTTAATTAGGCATTATTTAATAATAAAAAAAATCCCCATGGAACACCCCATATTGAAGCTATGAAGAGTTCTTCCCCGTAAGATATCCTTGGATACTGTAAACAAACACTGTAACCCAAGCTAGCGATTTCGTCAGCTTCGTTGACGGCGTCATTTTCTTTAATGAATTTTAAAACATGTGTGGGGTTATTCTAAAAGCGCTTCTTAGCACAGATGTTTATTAAGATACCATGCATATTAATTTGAAGAGAATTAAATTCTGAATCGATCTAATGTTGTTACACATGAATTATGCAACCTGTTCTATTGAAGGGTGAAAATGTTGTCCAAAAACTACTTACTTTATGCAGTCTTCTTTCATGGTAATATCTGCATCTGTAACATTTGGTATAATTTTGTTCGGTAAATTCTCCAACGTCTGTTTTTAAAAAAGAAAATTTTCAGCACCTTTGTTGTCCTGGAAATAGCGGAATGAAAAAGCGCGACAATTACTACCTACTATATTTCAGGTGTAAGTTTTTCAGTAAAACGCATTTTTCAATTGACGAATATATATTTACGAGTAGTAAAGTTAATAAAGATAGTAAAAAATATTTAACAATGTTGAATCATTTTTTTTCATATCTATATTCTTGAAATAATCATTGAGAGCGGAAAAACAGTAAAATTTGGGGTTTGAAAAAGCATTGTTTTGCTAAGAGTCACATAGCGTTACGTAATGACGTGACATGACTTGTGGATGCTACACTAGGCCAGAACAGCTGAAACTTATGTGGAAGCACCCTGGTATAATGTAGATTTTAAATTGTTCAATCCTGACCCCCAGGGGAAGGGCGGGGCCACAATGGGGAATCAAAGTTTTACGTAGAAATATATAGGAAAAATATTTGAAAATCTTCTTCTTAAGAACCACTGGGCAAGAAAAGCTGAAACTTATGTGGAAGCTTCCTGGTATAATATAGATTCTTAATTGTAGGAATCATGACCCCCGGGGGAAGGGCGGGGCCACAATGGGGAATCAAAGTTTTACGTAGAAATATATAGGAAAAATATTTGAAAATCTTCTTTTCAAGAACAACTGGGCCAGAAAAGCTTAAACTTATGTGGAAGCATCCTTGTATAATGTAGATTCTAAATTGTTCAAATAATGACCCCCGGGGAAGGGCCGTGTCACAATGGGTAATCAAAGTTTTATATAGAAATGAATAGGAAAAATCTTTGAAAATCTTCTTCTCAAGAACCACTGGGCCAGAACAGCTCAAACTTATGTGGAAGCATCCTGGTATAGGGTAAATTCTAAATTGTTCAAATCATGACTCCCAGGGAAAGGGCGGGGCCACAATGGGAATTGATGTTTTACATAGAAATATATAGGAAAAGTCTTTGAAATCTTCTCCTCAAGAACCACTAGGCCAGAAAAGCTGAAATTTATGTGGAAGCATCCTGGTATAATGCAGTGTTAAAATTGTACAAATCATCACCACTGGGGGAAGGGCGGGGCGACAATGGGGAATCAAAGTTTTATATAGAAATATATAGGAAAAATCTTTGAAAATCTTCTTTTCAAGAACCACTGGGCCAGAAAAGCTGAAACTTATGTGGAAGCATCCTGGTATAATGTAGATTTTAAATTGTTCAAATCGTGACCCCCGGGTGAAGGGCGGGGCCACAATAGGGAATCAAAGTTTTACGTAGAAATATATAGGGAAAAATATGTGAAAAATCTTCTTTTCAAGAATCACTGGGTCAGAAAAGCTATATTTTATGTGGAAGCATCCCGGTATAATGTAGATTCTAAATTGTTCAAATCATGACCCCCGGGGGAAGGGCGGGGCCAAAATTGGGTATCAAAGTTTTACATAGAGAGATATAGGAAAAATCTTTGAAAATCTACTTCTCAAAAACCAATAAGCCAGAAAAGCTGAAACTTATGTTGAAGCATCCTGGTATAATGTAGATTCTAAATTGTTCAAATCATGACCCCCGGGGAAAGGGCGCGGCGACAACGGGGAATGAAAGTTTTATAAAGAAATATATAGGAAAAATCTTTGAAAATCTTCTTCTCAAGACCCACAGGGCCAGAACAGCTGAAACTTATGTGGAAGCATCCTGGTATAATGATATGAGGAAACTTATGAGGAAGCATTCTTGGGTAGTGTAAATTCTAAATTGTAGGAATCATGACCCCCGGGGGAAGGGTAGGGCCATTATAAGGAATCAAAGTTTTACATAGAAATATATAAGAGAAATCTTTTAAAATCTTCTTCTCAGGAACCACTGGGCCAAAAAAGCTGAAACATATGTGCCCATGGAAAGTTGATGGGGTAGTGTAGATTTCAAAATGTCTAAATTATGATGAGTGGGGTAGGGTGGGGATGCATTATGTATAACAAGGGGGAAATTTGGTAAAGAACAAAATGGTCAAAGCTTCTCAGGTGAGCGATGTGGCCCATGGACCTCTTGTTTCTCTACATTTACTCCTATGTTGTTCTATTCCTATAAATTCATTCTTAAAATTCTGTCACACAAACAATGAACTCATTCAACGAATGTACATATAGATATAATCATAATAATGGGGTGGAGTTTTAGGAAAATTCAACTTAATCCTTACAATACGAAAAGATGAAAGTATCAATGAGAAGGATATGGATTTAACGAACAGTATTCAATCTCAACGTCCATTAAACAAATATACAAAATAAGAGCAGAGCAAACACGGACCTCTGAAACATCAGAGGTGGGATCAGGTGCCATGGAGGAATGAGCATCCCCTGCCGACCGGTCACACCCGCCGTGTGCTCGTTGTCATAATCAGGAAATAACGTAAAAAATCCGTGGTCAATTCAGTGTATAAATAATGGACTAACAATTGGTATGAAAAACGTCAGTCAGCATTTCATTCAATGATAAATTGTATTTGCTGACAAGGTCATTGTATCGACCATATCATTAATAGGAAAGTCACGAAGATTGTTCAATACAAACAAATAAGAAAAGGATAAAATATGGGAGAGTATAACAGCGCAAAATGGAATCACGTTTACCTTTTTGCGAAAAAGATTTCATATATGTATTGTACATGTAATTATGTTCTGCATTTTTATTTACTTTTTTTGCATTAATTCATTAGTGTCTTTCCGACAATTTAACTAGATACAGACACAGGACTATTTTTATAAATAACTTAAAATACGTTATTTATAAAATAATAGCTTGATGAGACATCGTTTACTACAATGTATCTAAATCTTTCAATTATGATCTCTAAGAAAAATAAATACTAAATTACATGTTTATAAAATGTTGAAAAAAATAAAACTGATAAAGGCAAATTATACTCGTATTTTAAAATATACCTTTCTCAATGCAATGAATACCGGGTAATTTATAACATTTTGACTTTAGCCATGAATAAAAAAAAATAATAAACCGTTAAAATATCCCTTAAGCGTTTTTTTTTATCCGTTGAACATTATATGTACTTGTGGTAGAAGTAGATGGTTTGTGACAGTATTTATCAAAAATGACTAAAACTTTAAAAAAAGAAATTAATTTATATGTAAAAAAAAATGTTAAAACGCAAAAATGACAATCTGTGCAAATATTTCATAACGATAGGCTGAAAGGTGTGTGTGTGTGGGGGGGGGGGGTAAGGAGGGGGGGGGCTTGCTATTACAGTATATAGAAAAAGATCTCTGATATATATTATTCACATGCATGATTTCATTGATATTCGTCGACCATAAAGTAGCAGCTGTATTTTTATTTTTACTGTTTACCTTTGTTATAAAGACAAAAACCACCTCAAAGATGATGACGAAAGAATTGACGTCACTTAGTTTACAAATATACTGAAAGTATTTTGGATTCCCTGGTTTACAGTTGGGATTTCTTTTGTGATTTGATTTAAAGAAGCATCTTTTATACCTATAATTTTGTTAACAAGGTAGGTGATGTATTTGTATTTCTGAATGGCGTATAGTCTTTATTGAAGGTTCGACAGACCGTCCATTATTTTATTTTTAAAACGGTATCATTTCCCAATTTTCTCGTCCATAGTGTGCAGTGAAAAAGGCAAAAAAGGCACTTATTCTTCTCTTTCTGCCAAGCGAACAAAGCATAAAGTAGGCAGCCATACTTAATGACCACTTTATGAAGCCCCCTTACCTTCATTAAAATTGAGGAATTTAATGAAGGTTTAATGCACCGATTCGTCCATTAAAACATTGATACAACAGAATTTAATGACCCATTAAAATGATCAGTTTAATGAAGCTTTAATCATTCATTAAATATTGACACAACCGGGTCCAGTTTATTAAATGTGATACGCAAGAACACGCTGTATGTTTCTATTATAAAGCAAGCTATTGAAGAACATGGGTATCAACGGTCTACTTGAAGCCATTTTGCACAAGTTCCAAGGTCTTTACAATGACCTTATCAGCATGTACAACCTGTCTTTAAGCTAAATGCTGAATGATGTGTTACGTACTGTCAAGCCATAATTTGCGTACTGAATTGGCCACGGACTTTTTCTCATTTTTTAAGATTTTTACTGTTAAAGACTCTTAGCCCCACCTCTGATGTTTCGGAGGTCCGTGCACATTTTTGCACTGCTCCTGTATTGTTTAGATTGACTTTAAGCTTGAATATTGTTTGCTAGCGCAAGCAAAAGTTAAAAAAGCCTGCGGTACATCCATAACTATAGTACTAACTTGAACATGTTCTACTGATTTGTAGTTGATGGACAATGGTCAGCTTGGTCAGGATATGGACAGTGTAGTAGTAGTTGTGGGGCAGGTGTTCAGATAAGGATTAGAAACTGCTCCAATCCTGCACCTGAATATGGAGGTAACAACTGCACAGGAAGGTTTAAGGAGAGCCAACTGTGCAATCTCAGGAGTTGTCCAGGTTTTCTTTTTTCCTACTCTTTGTTTAATTTGTCAATTTTCAATGGAAGCCAAAATGTTGATTTTATTTTGTTGTTTTCTTTCTTTATTGTACTTTTCCATCTTTAATTGAAATTATTTTTTGTTCGTTTTAACACTGTGATACAAATAAATGATCAACAATTGTAGTCAACGGTAACTGGGGTCAATGGGGTAACTTTCGGCCATGTGACATGCCTTGTGATGGGGGAATTCATATCAGAATGAGAGGATGTGACGACCCTTCTCCTTCTTATGGAGGGCTTCAATGCCCTGGTCAATCAGTTCAAACAGAGGCATGCAACACTCAGCCGTGCCCAGGTACAGTATGAATAAATCCCACACAAGGTGAATTTCTGTGTACATTTTCGATTCTTTTTACATGTTTTAATTAATTTATTTGCATTATTTCAGCATCCAGTCAACCAATAGATAGTCTGATCGGATAATGTTGTCACAAATATTGTTATACATACATATATATATATATATATAAGTATATATATATATATATATATATATATATATACATATCATGAAATGAAATCGATATTCCCTCTTATTCTTTCTCATTTAGTAAACAGATGTTAAAGATATTAAATCTCTGTAATTATTAGATTTAGCAGAAAAAAGTATTACACAAGCAAACGAAATCACCATATGCAGGTGAAAATTAGGTTTTACTACATGAAATAGAAAAACGAATTTGTTGCCGGAAAAGCTGAAGCCATCTCATTTGTTATATTCGTAAATTTATTTTCGTTGTTGGCCCTTTTCGTCTTAAGTAAGTAAAACATCCAAATGAAGGATAAAGAGATAACAAACAGGAAATATGATACAAATATGGTAAACTTCGTGGTGTCTTTATTTTTTAAGTTCACTGGGATATCTCGAGTCGATATACACTCAAAAAAATATTACTTACTTTTACTCAAATCAAGTAAACAAATTACTTATTTAAAGTAATTTTTAAGTAAAAAAGTTTGTCACCATAGCAGTCATGATAAGTAATTTAAAATATTTATTAGTAATTTTAAGTTATACAATTTTATATTTATAGAAACAGTGACGAGTAAATAATTTACTTAAAATAAGTAAATACAAAGAATTACTTAGTATTTGAAAAAAAAGCTTTTTGGGTTATTTAGAAGTGGTTTTGAGTTGACATTTAAAATATGTGAGTAAACAAATCATTAATCTTGTATTTAATCTAATTGATACTCCTCTGATAAAAGAGAATCTGACATATGGAATTGATTGACGTATTGTCAGAAAAAACAGAATTTTAATAATAAGGACTCTTCTATAGTCAACTTATTTTATTCTACATTGCCGTGCAGATGTTTATTTCTAGTTTCAATTCCTTATATTTCCATGAATTATTTTAATAGTTTACCTAAAACATATATACTAGGTCACTTTAAAGGATGTAAGTTGGGATATTTATATCTCTTAACGAATAAGGCATTTAATTGTAACAAAAATTTCAGACGCAGAACTGTTTAGAAACATTTGATTAATATTTTGTTTTATTAAAAAATATTTTCAAGGGCGATGATGGAAATCCAAGTAAATTATTTTACTTAAAATTACTTAAATTATTTTTTTGAATGAATTCTAATATACTTTAAGTAATTAATTTACTTACAAGAAGAAGTTTTAAGTAATTCGTGAATTACTTAGTAATCCTTAGTAATACTCAATCATAGTCAGTAATCAACAATTATCTTAAGTAATCAGATTACTTAAAATAAGTAAAAAAAATTACTAAGCAATTTTTAATTTTGAGTGTATGAATGAAGGATATGGAAATAACGAACAGTATTCAATCTCAATGTCCATTAAACAAATATACAAAATAAGAGCAGAGCAAACACGGACCTCCGAAACATCAGAGGTGGGATCAGGTGCCATGGAGGAGTGAGCATCCCCTGCCGACCGGTCACACTCGCCGTGTGCTCGTTGTCATCATCAGGAAATAACGGAAAAAATCCGTGGTCAATTCAGTGTATAAATAATGGACTAACAATTGGTATGAGAAACGTCAGCAATTTTTTCAATGATAAATTGTATTTGCTGACAAGGTCATTGTATCGACCATAAAATTTACAAAGTGATGACTTTAAACGAGACTGTTGATATTCTTGTTTCATCAACTTGCTTGTAAATAATTTACCTCGTTTAAGAAATTGTTCATACGTAGAGCATGCTCTTGCGTATCGAATCAACTGAGATATAAATACTCCTTATGCAGGTGATGAAGGTATATTGCTGCATAAGTAAGGGAAGTTGACAATAGAAAAAGTCTTTATAATTAAATGATAATTCTTCGTCAATACATTTGAATTTCTGATTATTGAAGGTAAAAATCCAATATTATAATAGTTGAAGTTTTGGTCAGAATAGCTAACTTTTTTAGTGATCTCAAAATTAATTTACTCAATTTCCCTAATCGATCTATCATTAAGGGCGAATTGTTTATATTTGTACCCATCGAACTATGTCAAATCCCATTTAATCAGAATATTATTGTTTAATTGAAATCCACTTCTGTTGTACCTCTCAACTGCTGTTCAAGAACGGAGCGTTACAATATACAATGAAAAAGGCGTCTGTGACATCCAATTGCTTCTTTACATGCCTGTACCTGGGATAGATAATTATATAACAGGTGATATTCTACAACTAGTATTGATAATGATAAGAAATCTTATCAGATGCACTTCTGTAATCCCTATAAATTTTTGTGCATTTTCCCTTAATCATGATTAACATTTGTAAGTTAGACAAAGTTTTTATTTTCTTTGTATTTCTCAGCATTCATTTCTAAACCCTCGACGTATTGTGGATTTCAGAAATGGTAGAGTACATTGCGTATAGCAGTGAGTCTGCTATATTTTATTTCTGAAAATAGTCTCCAGCATCCATTTAAAGGAATGTAAATGTGAACAAGGGGTCCATATGCCCTACAGGTCACTTGAGCATCATGCAACAACTTTTAAATGATTGCATGTGCTTCATGTGTTAAGCTAAAGGCATTCACAATTTTGAAAGAGGCATCATTTCTAATGATAACTTTATACTTATCAATTGTTTAGTTATCGCCCGAATGGCGCCGCAGTGGTTAGAGATTCTGCTCTAGAGTCGCGAAGTATGGAGTCAATCCTTACGTCACGGGTTCGAATCCCACTGCGGGACGTGGAGACAGGTCCTTCGGAAGAGACTGTATAAACTGAGGTCCCGTGTCGCAGTAGGTGCTGGCACAAAAAAGATCCCTCCCTGCTCAGTGGCCCTGAGGGCCGAGTAAAGGACAAAATTTGCAGCTCTCCAGCGGCAAATGGTGGTGTCTCCATATGAAATTCACGGTGCCTGGAGATAAACCCTTGCGTATTATAACTAAATAGGTACTTCATCTTCGTATTACCCAGGAGCATATATTGGATTGCGAAACGTCATAAAAATCCTTACAAACAAGTAAGTGTTCAAGTAAGCAATTTTCGTTAATCCTCACTGGGATATTGACAGAAGTGAAGGAAACCTTTAAGAGTACTCTGTCACAATATAGTCAAGAAGTGGTGAATTAGACGTTGATACGTACTCAAAAATTCCAAAGAACTTTTGGACAATCGAAAATCACGAAATTTTACCAAAATCTACAGCTTAAGAACTTACGATTAATCAACTTAATACATAACAATGCCCCGTGATAAATCAAAGTGTAGTCGTTTTGATATTATTGACAGCTGCGTTTTCAATAAAAATAGATCTCGTAAATTTACTTACCTGGTCATTGGTCATTTGCAAAATTGTTTTGTTAAAACACATTTTGAGTGCGCACACAAGTTAACATCAGAAAGATTGACAATATCTATGCAGTTTTTGAAGATCAGGTATTCTACAATCTATTGGAATTCCCATTAAGCGATTAAGCGATGAAGCAGAATTTGAGCAAATTCTCTAATGCATGAAAAGAAGAAAACACTTGCTGTGGCCTTCAACTCGACATTTAGATATATCGACGACGTACTGTTAATCAAAAATAATTTCAGTTCCTACGTCGATATAAAATATCCTGGTGAGCTTGAGTGAAAAGATATCACCGAGTCTGACACATCTGTTTCATATTTGGATATTTTACTTGAAGGAAGACGATAACGATAATTTTACAACCAAGCTATATGATAAAAACAATGATTTTAACTTTTATATCGTCACCTTCCCTTTCTTATGATTCTATATACCTTCGTCGCCTTCATATGGAGTATATATATATATATATATATATATATATATATATATATATATATATATATATATATATATATATATATATATATATATATATATATTTATATATAACCGAATCCAATCCGTTGGCGGTTTCGTTTTAAAAAACTGCAATCACTTGGCGGCACGCGTTATTTACTGGCATAAAATCGTTTGCCGCTAAGTGAAGGCATGTTTTTTAAATTGCTCTATCTCTTTTATTAGGAAAGATACGTCAATGAAACTTTCTCTGTTATAATAGTCGATCATTTGTAGATGAAATAAGCGCAAGAACATTATTAAATTCTCAGTAAATAATTTATTTTGATCGGTTTTGTGAAGGTACCCTTTTTTGAAGTATATATAATATTCGTCAGAGACCTCATTTTGAGGCATACTGCGGTTTTTGGACGTTTTTTCTCTTAAGTGTGATATATATCATTCTGAAATTTTTGTCATGGCAATATAGGAATGAAATGCGTCATATGTGATAATTTCATAAGCAAATATCCTTGAAATCGAGTGCAATAAAGGTTTATATAAAATGTAATGCTCAGTTTTGGAGTTCAGCGCATTATATATACTATAGGATACTACGCATGTCTGACCTAAAAACGGTATCAAAAGAAAATGGCGAATGGAATGTTTTTGTTTTAGTTTGCTTCGATTCTTATACAAAATGAAAACAAATAGATTCCGCTGATAAAAACAACATCTCATATCAGATGATTTGAACGTGATTAATTAGAAGAGTTTTCAGAGGCCAATGAGGATGTGATATTTAAAAACATGTGGTATTGGAAATATTTTTGTTTTCTTTCGGTAAGCAGTAATTCATCAAGTGGATTATCATGCTACTATATCTTCAAATATTTGAAGAAAGCACGTTTCTTAAGGCGTGTCAAATTTCCGTCTAGTTCCTGTTTATCTCACAGAACATCAGTTATAAATACATGTGTTTTGCAGCTAAGACATTTTCCCAGCCGTTGTGGTTTGTTAGCGGAGAAGGAAAAATATTGACTATCTTCATTCTAGCTGGATTTCTTACATAGACAAATGATATCCTTCATAGACAAATGATTTCAAAATGTGTCGTAAACTTTGTTATGAAAAAATAACGTAACAAGTAAGAATCATTCGTACTTTAAAGAAAATGGCATTCAGTGTTTTCACACATGACCATGTAGCAAGCTATGTGTTACCAAGGAGAAAAT